GGGAGGGAGGGAGAGGGCTGCGGGTTTGGGGGCGGGGAGGCGGGTACGCGGCGAGCGGTTTCGACGGGCAGGGTTTAGGGTTTAGGGTTTGGGGTTTAGGGTTTAGGGTTTAGGGTTTAGGGTTTAGGGTTTGGGGTTTGGGCGCAGGACTACGATCCCATTGCCGGAGGCCCTGTCCGAGCCATTCCTCAAGGGTTTACTTGCTGGGACAAAATCGAAGTCGATATTCGTAAACCCTAAACCCTAAACCCTAAAACGCGGTTTCCAGCTGGCTCTAGGCTTTAGCGTTCGGAGCGCAGCGAGAGGGTTTAGGGTTTAGGGTTTAGGGTTTAGAGCGCAGGGTTTGGCACTCAGGTCTCGGGCTCCGGGTTCAGGGTGCCGCGCTGAGTAGCGCCCAGGGCCTAGGGTTTAGGGTTTAGGGTTTAGGGTTTAGGGTTTGTGCGCAGCGAACTGCCGCGTGAAGGACTTGGTGTTGTTTTTGGAAAAGAAATTTAATGTCTCTGTAGTCATTCTTTCTTTTGGAAGTTTTTGTCTTTACAACAACTTCTTGCCGAGCCACAGACAGGGGCGCCTCGGAAAGCCAATTGCCGTTTTAGGGTTTAGGGTTTAGGGTTTAGGGTTTGTGCGCAGCGAACTGCCGCGTGAAGGACTTGGTGTTGTTTTTGGAAAAGAAATTTAATGTCTCTGTAGACATTCTTTCTTTTGGAAGTTTTTGTCTTTACAACAACTTCTTGCCGAGCCACAGACAGGGGCGCCTCGGAAAGCCAATTGCCCAGGCAAACCCTAAACCCTAAACCCTAAACCCTAAACCCTAAACCCTAAACCCTAACGGCTCGGCCCTACGGCCTGCGGCCTGGGAACTGCGGGGGGTTTGCTGCCGGCGGCTTGCTGGCTAGTTGCTGCGCAGAGCCAGCGGCTGCACCCCTGCTGCTGCTGCTGCTGCTGCTGCTGCTGCTGCTTATTGGGCTGCTAGGGCTGCTGCTGCTGCTCACGTGGCTGCTGCTGCTGCTGCTGCTGCTAATCTGCCTTTGGCTGCTGTTGCTCCTGTTGTTGCTAGTGCTGCTGCTGCTGCTGCCAGCATGCCTGCTGCTGCTGCTGCTGCTGGCATGACTGCCGCTGTTGCTCCCAATGCTGCTAATGCTGCTGCTGCTGCTGCTGAAGTGCCTGCTGCTGCTGCTGCTGCTGCTGCTGCTGCAGCTGGTGGAGGAGATTACGAAGGCCCCGCCCCCGCCAACTTTGCTGCTGGAGAGCAGCTGCAACAGCAAGGAGGACTCAGTGGATGTGCTGCTGCCAACTATTGCTCTGAAGACTACAGTTTAAGCCAAACCCTAACTGCTGCTGCTGCTGCTGCTGCTGCTGCTGCTGCTGCTGCTGCTGTAGGAGCAGCAGCAGCTGCTGGCTCGGCTGCTGCGAATGCTGCAGCCACGCAGAAGCAGCAGAAACGCTGCCTCTTTTTCGCCGTTTCTGCTACTAGTGCTGCTGCTGCTGTATAGCAGCAGCAGCAGCAGCAGCAGCAGTTGAGCTGCTGCTGCAGCTTCCTCTTAGTAGAAAGAGACCTTTGTTGTTACCATCAAGTTGCAGTGCTGCTGCTGCTACTCGGCGCCTGCTGCTGCTGCTGCTGCTGCTGCTGCTTTGACAGCAACATCGACAGCCGATGAGAGAAAAGCAGCAGCAGCAACAGCAGCAGCAGCAGCAGCAAGGCAGAGCTTTTCTACTGCCATAGAAAGACAGACTGCCGAAAAGGCTTAAGGTTCGAGGTTCAGGCTTTAAGCACTAGGGTTTAGGGTTTAGGGTTTAGGGTTTAGGGTTTAGGGGTTCGTTCTGCAGCCTTTAGGGGAGGGAGCTGCCGAGCGTTGCAGCAAGCGTGTCTTCCCCAGCAGCAGCAGCAGCAGCAGCAGCAGCAGCAGCAGGGTCTGCTGCTCTGTGGCTGCTGAGGCGCTCTAGTCTCTTCATGCGTCTCTCTAGTTTATTTGCTGCTCTTCTGCATGCAGCCAGTGTGCGTTCTTCCGCCTGCCGCCTGTCTCCTGCTGCTGCTGCTGCTGCTGCTGCTGCTGCTGCTGCTGCTGCTTTGCTGCTGCTGCGCACCAAGCTCGCCGCTGGCGACGGGGCGCGCGGCGACGTAGCAGCAGCAGCAGCAACAGCAGCAACAGCAGCACCGGCTGTGCGAGGCCTCGGCCTCAGCTGTTTGCTTAACAGGGGGGCCCCCAGGGGGCCCCCAGAAGGGGCCCCTAGGGGGCCCCTAAGAGGGGCCCCTAGGGAGGTACCCAAGGGGGCCCCTAGGGGGGCCCTCCACGGGTCGCTTAGGGGGGCCCCTGAGGGGCCCCCCCTCAGTGGGTCCCCTGTGGGGGCCCCTGAGGGGCCCCCTAGGGGGCCCCCTGAGGGGGCCCCCAAGGGTACCTCCAGGGGGCCCCCCAGGGGAAACTTCCAGCGATAATCTCTTTCAGAAGCTCCTTCAGGGGCCCCCCTGGGGGCCCCATAAAGAGACCCCAAAGAGTCTCTTAGGGGGCTTCTTAGGGGGGCCTCCAAGGGGGCCCCCAAGGGGGCCCCCAAGGGGGCCCCCAAGGGGTCTCCTGGAAGGGTACTAGGGGTTGTCCCCAGGGGGCCCCCCCGGGGGCACCCCCAGCAGCAGCTTAGTGGGGATGTCAAGGGGGCCCCCAGAGGGGCCCCCCTGGGGGCCCCCAGGGGGGCCCCTTTGGGGGCCCCCCAAAGCTCGTGGGGTAGAGCGGAGGGAAGGGCCCCACAGCTGTTGGCTGTTTGCTGCCTTGAGCTGCTGCGCTTTTGCTGCTGCTGCTGCTGCTGCTTTTGCTGCTGCTGCTGCTCTTGCTGCTGCTGCTGCTGCTGCAGCGTCCAATGACTCAGTTGCGCCGCGCTGCAGCTGCAAGGGCTGCCTGCCGCTGCTCCGCTTAAGAGTTGCCGCTGTTGCTGCTGCTGCTGCTGCTGCTGCTGCTGCTGCTGCTGCTGCTGGGGTTGAGCGACTCCGCCATTGGGGGGAAAGGGGGCCCCTAAAGGGTTTAGGAGAGAGTTTGGTTTTCCTGCTGAGGGAAAAGGTTTCCTTAGGGGCCCCTCGCCACAAGTTGCTGCTGCTGCTGCTGCTGCTGCTGCTGCTGCTGCTGCTGCTCCAGGTCGCCGCTTGAAACACAGAGCGGGCGGCCACTGGGAAGCTCCTGCTCCTGCTGCTGCTGCTGCTGCTGCTGCTCTTCCTCCTCCGCTGCTTCGAGTGTTTGCTGCAGCAGCGAGGTCTGCTGCTGCTGCAGCCTGCTGCAGCAGCAGAGTGCGTCTTTTTCCTCGCTGCGGCCGCCGCCGCAGCAGCAGCATCTGCTGCTGCCGCAGCAGCAGCAGCATCTGCTGCAGCAGCAGCAGCAGCAGGACCATGCGAGCAGAGCCCAGTGTCTGTACACCTCACTGGCACTAAACAAAGGCTGCTGCTGCTCAGGGGGCCCCCAGCCTGTGGGGCCCTCTGCAGCGCCGGCAGCAGCAGCGCGAGGGGGGCCCCCTGTGCTGCTCTCTTCAGCTGCTGCTGCTGCCACGCAGCAACAGCAGCAGCAAAAGCAAACAAACCCAACTCGCCGTTAGAGTACAGCAGCAGCAGCCACCTGCAGCAGCAGCAAACGCAGCAGCAGCAAAAGCAGCAGCAGCAGAAGCTGCTTAACCTCACAGGGGCCCCCAAAGCCATACACAGCAAATGCCCCAGGCCCTTGGGGGCCCCCTGGGGGCCCCCGGGGGGCCCCCTGAGGGGCCCATGGGGGCCCCTTGGGGGCCCCCTGAGGGGCCCCTGGGGCCCCCTGGGGGCCCCCTGGGGCCCCTAAGCCATAAAGGGCCTCCAGCTGAGTCAACGCACCTGCAGCCCTAAGTAAAGGCAGCTAAACCCTAAACCCTAAACCCTAAACCCTAGGCAAGTAGGCAGCACTGTGTCGCTGTGGGAGCAAGCCTCCCAAACCCTAAACCCTAAACCCTAAACCCTAAACCCTAAACCCTCACTGGGCGCGCTTGTCTGTGGCTGCCTGCAGGACTGCCTTTCCTTCGGGTTTGAAGTCGAACAGCAAATTAAACCCTTGAAAAGAAACCACCTGAAGCCTCCCGTCTTCGAGGACCATGCAAAGTGCTGCTGCTGCTGCTTCCCGCTGCTGCTGCTGCTGCTGCTGCTGCTGCTGCTGCTGCTGCTGCTGCGGGTTTAGGAAGCAGCAGCGGGGGACCTGCAGCAGCATTAGCCCTATTATGGGGGAAGGCGTTATGTAGCAAGACACGAAGCAGATGCGGGGTGCTGCTGCTGCTGCTGCTGCTTTGACGTCTGCTGCTGCTGCTGCCAGGTTCGTGCTGCTGCTGCTGGGGTCTGCTTCCTGCTGCAGTCGCCAAGCAGCAGCAAAACCCCTCTCTGGGGGCCTCAAGCTGCTGCTTTCTGCTTCTATGTCGCTTCTAGAAACCCCCGCCCTGCGCTCCACCACAAACCCTAACCCTAAACCCTAAACCCTCACCCCAAACCCTAACCCTAAACCCTAGCCCCAAACCCTAACCCTAACCCTAGTCCCAAAACCCTAAAACGGCGTCAAGTCAAGTCGCAGGGTTCCTTCAGGTAGGCGCAGCCCTGGCATCCACATTTAGGGTTTAGGGTTTAGGGTTTAGGGTTTAGCAGCCGGGCGTGAACTCTCCTCCGACAAGGGTTTAGGGTTTAGGGTTTAGGGTTTAGGGTTTACGAGCGCGCCCAGAGCTCCGCCGCGGCTTTAAATGCAGCAGGGGTTTTAAAAGCTGTTTGACATCCAGCAGCAAATGGGGGAGGGGGGAAAGGGGGCC